AAGTTTATTGTGTAAGCAGCTACAAGTTTATTGTCTAAGCACAGCTACAAGTTTATTGTGTAAGCAGTCATTTCAGAAAGCGTCCGAGAGCTGTGCCGCAGCTTGCTTGCCAACCGATGGTCTCCTGATGATCCATGCCTTCATAGTTCAGCCACCGTGAATTATAGTCAAAAAGAGAGACTTTCCCGGAGAGTAGCTGAAAAAAGGCTGCCTGTATCAGATTGTTTCGTGTCCTCTTTCTTGATGTGGTGCTGCAGAACTTTCTAATTCTTGCAGCCCGAAATGGCGTGTTAACTTGACGCGTCCATGTCCGACACCTGTTCTTCGTGAGCACCGTGCCTGAACAAATGCTTTTTCCTGTAATGCTCTTTGCACCATTGGCGAAAAGAAAAGAAAAACTGCGGATTATGACTGTGAGGGTTTCTCAGATGCTTGTGAAATTTCGTCGAATTTTACTGGATGTTTCAGTCTGGCACTACGTTTATTATACCATCGAGTTCAATGAAACAGTGAAAAAGCCAGAGGAACGACGAGACATGGCGCATATTCATTGGCTTAAAAAGCACTTCCCATTTTTAAGGCAATATGGTATACCGTACAGAGAAAGTCCCCGAGAACACAGCTGATGCACAGTGAATTGCTGCCTCGTCTTGAATAATTTTGCAAAATGTATTTTAGCAGATCCATAGCAAAACCATGTTGCTTTTCTTACATTGCCTCCTTTGTTTAAACAGCCACTCAAAAATCTCCCCCTTTTGAATGGGGGGCCATTTAAACGAAAAACAACTTGGACAGTTTCACATGAGGAGAAGTATGAAATTCTGCACGGAAAGCTTAGGTGCTAGGTGCTTGTCGGCGCAAGCTTTCTTGCTTCTTTTTGTCTCCTCTGGCTACACAGTTTAATGTTCGGATGATTTGCTTAAGCAATATTCACTTGCCGTATCCGTGTCTTACGATATTTTTGCAGTATAGGATATCGTTTGTGCCCATCACAACTGTAGTATTTGATGATGCTTTCATTAATTTTTTCATCACTTTGGTTTGTGTTATTTGGGCCGTTTCTTTTTTTTTTTTGTTTGTGTTTTCATTATTTTGGGATGTTGATATGTAAGATTTGCAGTAATTACTATCAGAAATGAAAATTGAATAGACATCTGGTGACCTGCGTGTAATCGGAGGTAATGAACGTCGAAAGGCTGTTGCATTCCAATCCAGCTAGAATCACGCGCCTACAAAGCTCACTGGTAGTCAGAATACTCCTGCAGATTTGCGGTTAATTTCTTCAAGGAAACATGCACTATAATCCCACAGTTTACAAAGTGAAGATAATACATTGATACAGTGCAGACCATATGACGGAAATTCATAGCGCCGCAACTCAGAGGACCAGTTTAACGTGATAACGAAAACAAGTAAAAGCACAAGTCTCTTCTGTGATTTAAGGAGCAGTGAATTAAGAAGGGAGAGGGGAGTTGGGGGTATCTCTCCATAATCAAACAGACAAACCAAATTTC